GTTGTCGCCCGATCAAGGTCAAGAGCCGGCAGAGATTCATGTGCTGTTTTTATCCGACGGTTTTTTTCGATTTATCGTATCAGAACTTTCTCACCTTATCAGAGTAAATTGACACACAGAGAAAGAATCTTTTTTAAGCAAGATGAACAGGCATATAGTTTTGTGAGAGACAAACAAGATACAACATTCAGACATGCTTTTCAAGCATTTCATACACCTGTAAAACGTGTTTACTCTAGGAAACTATTTTGTTCGGAAACCATTGATTGCAGTTTTGCTTTGGATTTCCACGTATAACCCGCTTTATCCCGAGAATTATCTCTATTAGTTTGGAAGGAGGTGGAAAACGTGTTAGTGGTGGGGAAAGGCAAGGTCAGATAGTGTTGGGGATACGCTAGAATGAATTCCGTGACTTAGGCTTTTACAAGGACTTTTCCAAAGCCGGCCTAACGAATCGTACTCAACAATAACTTTAGCTCGAAAACGAGTCGAGGAGGATGTGAAGATCACATCAGGCCCGTTGTGGGGATAGAAATTCTCCAACCATATACCAAATCTTCCGTACCTAGACCACCTTCAAAACCCTTTCACATCCTTGGGGGTTTTTACATCTGCAATATTTCAGACGTAAAGAAGTATATTTTCGACATCAACAACATGGTTTCTAGTCGATCTTTTGATGAGTAGATGCCAGTTAGTCTGCACTGACATACCGTTGCGTAACATTTTAGGGTCCGAGTTCAATCACAGCCTACTCATTTATATATGACATTGAACATATCAGATTAGAAGTAGATTTGTCCATTCCATTCCTACTTAAGAATTTTTGAATTAGTGCAATTAAAAAGGTTATTAAAATCTTATTTTTAAAATAAAAATACCTGGCTCAAAATCTCCAAATATAAAGATATGTATTTAAAAAAATAAATATCAATTAGCAGATAAAATTTTTTGAGATTCCCCATTATTTCATTTTTCTCCCCAAATTACAAAAAGACATTAATTACACTTCTTCACTAGAAACAATTTGAACCTACATAATAGACTGTATTTCACAATTCCCTTTAACTATAGTCGAAAATGTTTAACCAAAATGCATTCAATTGTAAGATTTTTTATGAGGTCTGCAGAGTCAATGATCCGTAGTGGGTCGTTTCTGAACATTTTGATCGGTCAGAAGTGTTTCGGGTTTTCGCTATCATCAGTGGTTGGCCAGGGATTAAGCAATACAAAACCGCCACTGAAAATGGGGCGAAGCCGAAACGCGTCTGAAAGACCAAAACACTCGGATTAGGCAGATCAAACTTATCGGAAACTACCGTACCAAAGGATACAAATATATGTAGTTAGATAGTTTCCGATAACCTTGCTATTTTGGACGCGTTTTAGAAATTTCGACCTCTTCAGCGTTTTGTCAGGGTTATAAACTGGGCAAAGCAATACAAACACTCTATCCTGAAGATGGTGAAAAGCCGAAAGAAAACCAGGAACAGCAAGAGTAGGCAGTTCAAAATAATCGCACTGCTAGATTAAAGACGAAACTATTATTTATTAAGTCAAAAGAAGAAAAAATAAATGAAACAAGATATTTATAAATGAAAAAATAAAACATATGAAACTAGATTGTTTTCAATAATAATCAATGGAATGAAAAAGTCTTAAAAAGACCGTGATGTAAGTGAGGCGTGTGGGATCCACTCCTACAACTGCTAGGACCCAATCTAATTACCCTCTAATCGTGGTAAAGCCGTATAATTTCTGGCATTATTTACCTCTGATGAAAATATTAAACGGATGTAATTTATAAACATTAAACATCAATTTGACTAAAAGTGAAAAAAATAAAAAGGATTACATGAATTGTTTAAAAGTTTCAAACGTTTATGTTATTTAATCATTTCATGTCTTCATAACGAATGTTCCCTCTCGTCTATTTAAATTTTAAACTAATATTTATCTTCACATCAACATTTACACAGAACTATTGTTGAATAATAATAATGTTGGTAACAAAAATACTCCACTAAGAAGTACTCTCGCCGGAAATAAATAGAAAATACGTCAAAAAGTATACATTAATTACGCACTTTATTAGGTAAGAAATGAATGATATTTTGTTGTAAATACAGGGTATCCTTTTTAGATGGCCCGGCTGAATTTCTCTTGAACCAATGACGCTATAAAAAATAAAATAAAATAAATACATGTTTAATATTTTTTAGTCTAAAATTTCTACCTTTTTTTGTAGAAAAATTGTATAGGGTTGTTCAGACCCAGTACAACTTCAAAATTTCAAATACGATCCTAGACTTTTAATACGACACATCATTTTAAAGAATTTTTTTACGCTGAAAACAAATTTAAAAATTGGTCAAAAAATTACGAAGCTATGGCAAAAAGTTTGAAAAACTTTGGTTTGCTATTTATTAATTACATTTCATTTTTTAACTGCCTGCCTTGCGTAAAGAAGCAAAGATTTGCTCTTTTTAACTACACTTCGCCATATAATGTATCAGGATGTATAGGTTCGTATTTGAACTTTAAACCAGTCTAAAAAAAAAAAATTTTATAGCATCATTGGTTCAAGAGGGAGACATAGCTGGGCCATCTAAAAAGCATTGTACACCAAGCCGACAGAGTACGATTATTTTTTTAAATTACAAGGGTATTCGACAGCTAGGCCATTTCATGCGAAATATAACAATACACATATTCAGTACGCATTAACACGAATAAATACATTGACATCTATGTTCATTGCGCTCATTACGTTTAGTAGTGTAGATGGAGTACTCAATATTCCTCCATCGACCTGCACACAATAACAAACTAACAAATCTAATTGGGGTCGATGGGGTATTTTTTGATAAATATTCCGCCTTCGACCTAAGTCACGCATGCAGCTCGAGGAGCGATGGAGATACTATTTCACCATAACCCCGTCCCCATTCACACTAATACATACACTCACTTATACAAAACACATATTTTGAAGGCTATATACAATAAAAAATTCCTAATTCCCCTAAAAACCGGAACATGAGACCCTCTAGATTTATGCCGTACAACAGGAATTTCTCAATATTCATTATTATCATTTGGACCTTTTTAATACCATGAACGAGAGGATTTTGAAATGTAAATAATTATAAAGAGTGTCCGCCACGAGAAACCGGTTTTCTCCTTTATTTTCCTTTAAATTGTATTGGAAATATTAGAAAAAATTCCCGTGAAAACATTTTCTTGATTAAAATTTATAAAACGATAATTCAGTCCATGTTTCGTGCATAATCATATTATTCACTTTTTAATTCAACGTCTTATTTGATGGATTTGGTTTTAAAAGTGTGATAGAAGGTTCCTGATCATCGTGTTCTGGGTAGTTGCTGTTATTGTAAGTTTGTAAAATGGTAAACAAAGTTAGTCACAAAAAAGGGAAAAACGCTGAAGTGAGTTTCAATAGGCAGATATTCGCTAGTGTAGCCTGGCAATTGGGTTTTCACAATCTTCAATCATTGGCCTTAGTATTATTTGATCAATCGTGCCCTTTTATACGTTCGGTAAGCCAGAAGGGACGTACAAAACATAGGCATAGTGTTGAGATGGGTCTAATTAACAGGCCATCCTCGCTAGTATAGTCCGACGGTTTTCACAATGTTCGGTATTGGCCTGGGTGTTATTTGGTCAATTTTGTTCTTTCAAGTGAAGGGTATAAAAAACGAAATACCGAAAACGGACAAACTGCTGAAATGAGATCTAACTGGTGATTTTCGCCGATATTGCATTTCGGCGTTTACAATCTTCAGTGATTGGTCTATGTATTATTTGGGCAAACGTGTCCTTTTAGGTTTGTAAAGTAGGAAAGGGTATAGAAAATCATAGTTACAAATAAGGGAAATATGCTAAAAAGTGATAAAACAATTAGATTTTCGCAGATATTGCATTTCCGCTTTTACAGTATTCAGTGATTTGTCTGTGTTATTTGGGCAAATGTCCTTTTTTTTATACGTCGTAAAGTCGGAGGGGCTAGGCACATTGTTGAAACAGGTCTGATTAACAGGCAATGGTATAGCCAGATGCGTTTCGGTTTTCATAAATTTCTCTGGTGGGTCTGTTTTATGTTATCAATCAAACATTTAAATCCGGGGTGGCGTGTTCTAATCTCTCAAATTAAAATTCCACCGTCTCCACCTTGTCATTTTTAGTTATTGACAAAACAAGTATGGTAATTAAGAATTACGGTGTGGGAGTGGCTAATGAGTTTATAATGAATGTGGTAGACCCATTAGAGGATCTGCCCACCGCTGCCAAAAGGAACAGTCATAAACAGAAGACTTGTAACGATATCCTCTTCTGTGCATAAATTATAAAGCGATGATGTGATCTTGACAACGTCATATTTAATGAAACGTCAGAAATGGGTTCGCGTCAAATCCCATCAGTAAATCCTTAATTTAGATGTATGCCATTTTTGGTTTTGGTTAAATGATCCTGACCGTCCTGGCCACGAGAGATGAAAGACCTTGAGGCTATTTGTTAAGATTTATTCAAAAGACCGGTTATCGATTTAAAAATTAAACATTTAACGTTTATTCTTAAATTTTAGTATTGAAAAATTGTAGGTAATGTTTTATCTCGGATTTCACCTAGGCATAATTAGATCCCTGTAACTTTTAAACTTCAATATAAACTGTGTTTAAAAAAGGGTTTTGATATACTTACAAAGTAAAAAGCCTGGAGGACCCAACAAAAGATGAAAATTCTCTAAAAACCGCTCACAATTATTTTATTTGTATTACAAAGGGGAAATTAGTTAATAATACTGTTATATAATATAAACAGCAATTCAATGCTAGCATTATAATGTCCTTTGTTCTCTCAATTTGGCATTTTCTTCGTTCCACTTACCTCCAAAATTTTCCTTAAATTTACTTTGAAAATCTCCTCGATTTATGAACGATTGACTCATTGAATTGAATAGAATGAGTACAATAAAACACTAAGCATAAAATTTTTAATCAGTCTTTGAATAATGAAAATTAGATTAAAATAAGAAGAATAGACAAAACCCGTAAAATTTCTATCGCCTTGTAAACGTTTAAATAAAATTTCGTCAACAATATCCAGCCGGCTGATAGTGTGCGCTAAAACAGTCGGTGAAGGGTTCTCATTTCTAGAATGTCAAGGAGAAAACTTGTATCGTACAGAAAAATGTCCCATTAATTTAATGTTACATTATTATTAATAAGATGCCGTTTCACCTGTTTTTCTATATTTTGAAGCTATTTTGATCGGGCGCCGAACGTTTGTCCGCTTGTTCTCGCTATTTTGCCCGTCAGAAGGTTATCTACAAGATACCAACTTGATTGGCCGGATCTGTGCATCTTTCTCGCGTGCTTGTCCTTGCTTGGGCTTACGAAGTCCTTTCAGAACGTCATGTTGAAGATTTATGTCTGATTTGCTACGAGTTCTTGGTTTTTCTTTTTGAGGTTTGCTATGTAGTTTCCATTTCCCTAAAATAATTTGATGGGTGTTATTTAGTCTGTCTTTTAAGTTTTTTAGCTCTACGCGATAACTAAAATGAACTTTCGCTATGCAAAATGTTTCAGTTCGTTTTTCATCTGTTAATTTTAACCTTAAAGCATTTTTCATCAATCGTCAAACGTTAGTCCGCATGTTCTCGCTGTTTCTGTCGTCGTGAACTTTATTGGTTGGATCAGTGCGTTTTTCCGTGTACACTTAGCCGAATTTCTATCTAGGCGAGTAAAATACAACCACAACTTGTTCTTTGGTGCCTACATGATGTTTCTTAAAATAACAATTCGGATTTTGGATTAACTTCACTGATGAAAGAACTCAAGTGCACACTAGGCAATAGGCCATTAATATGAGCTAAAAACTATAGTTTTGGGTTGATCCTGACGAGGACTAGTGGTGCTAAGGGGGAAGTTTGCAAATTTTAACTCATTTTTATTTTGATAATATGAATTCGATAATGAACATTTAAAAGCGATCAAAGGTAAAAAAGAATCAATATCGGTTATATATCAAAGTATCGTACTTCGATGGTATCGAGTTATCTTAGTATCCCGAACCGGAGGATGGTCCTATGTGTACGTTGCGATATGAAATAGCTTGTTTTTATCCCTCACGTTTAATAATAGAAAGAATGCACGACTCGCCTCGATTAATAATTGAGTAAATATAACTCGAGTCGTTTCCTTCCCCCGTTTACTCTTTGGTTGTAAAGAGATGACCTATCCGCCGGAAGGAACTGTACAGCGCGCTGGAAACAAATACCTTTTTTCCCCTCTGCCCTTGACTCTCTTTAGAACCAATTGTTTTTGCGATATTTCATATCTTAGAAAGATAACAAGTAAAACAACGCGGTGTTTATTGAAAGAAAATCTTTCAAACACACTCTATGCTTAAGACTAAGGGTTGAAAGTATTTACATGAGGGGTTTTGCTGATTCAGTAGGTGATAAATGAGAGACCCGCTTGACCTAGCCGACTCTCAGGTTTGATATATGCCAGACCCCGACTTTAACTTGGATCACACTCGGACACAGGCTCAAGTAATTTAACTTATTTTCCTGTGCAAACCACAGTTTAAAAATCACCCAACCATCTTAATATGAAAACGATTCACTATTTTAAATTTAAAAAAAGTTTAATTAAACAACGAGTGAAATTTCTAAACTTTGTGGCTGTGAACTTTCAACTGTTTTCTCTGATGATCGGTGTTTAGCTAAAATAAAAACCTAACTAATTTTTTTCTTTAAATTTCGAATTTTCATCTATATATAGAGGAATTTGAGTTCATTTAAATATTTGTATAATATTTTATTTATAGCACAAGCGGAAAAAATCCGTTATGCATCTTGCTTCTAATCGAAAAATGTAGGGGCACAAAAATTGTGCTTTTCTTCTAAAAACCTACCTAGGCAGTAAGAGTAAACAATCAACCTGGGGAGTTATTTTCATTATTTTTCATTTGATTTGTCATTTGGTTCAAATTAAATTTATTATTCATGTACAAGATTGAATAGAGGACCGCGGTATCCGCGTGACTAGGTCGTCAGAATCGTATTTGACATACTAGTGGTTCTTGGTTCGAATCCTGGCATAGCCCATGAAATTTAATAATATTATATATTAATGGTTCCGATCCTTCGTCCTCGACACCAATTGGATAGTAGGACGTTAAGCCCTTAAGGAATTATTTACAAGATGAGTAAATTGAATAAACTCGTTGACTTACACAAAATAATTTAGTTCAATTTTAAACAGTACATCAAGTTTGAATTATAATACAGTAATTTAGAACGTGAAAATTGGGCTGAAAATACGGATGACAAACTTAACTTAATTTATTCATATTGTGTTAATTATATTTGTAATTAAATTCAACCGTAGTTTTGATCTTATTTTTATTGGTAAGAGGCTAGATTATAATTTTTTTTTTTTTAATTGTACATTTTAAAACGACTTTAATTGTTTGTGTATTTTTGTGTGTAAGTGAGTAAATAAGGAAGTTAGTGAGTGAGTTTGTGAGAATGAGTGGAGTGATTGTGTGAAGGAGTGAGTGATTGTGAGAGTAAGTTTGTTAGAGTGAGTGAGCGATTGTGTGCATGAGAGTGAGTGATTGTAAAAGTGAGTGAGCAAGTTTGTGATCGTGAGAGTGAGTGATTGTAAAAGTGAGTAAGTTTGTGATAGTGAGAGTGAGTGATTATGTGAATTAGTGAGTGGTTGCGTTGAATGAGAGAGAGTCTCAAATGTAATTGAACGTGGGGGATGTAAAAACCATCCATTTGAGGGATCTTTTTCTAGGTATTCCGTACTTTATTGTAAATTTTTTTAAATTTATTTATCTGTGCTTATGACTGTAATGTAAGTTTATTTATATAGTCAAACTACATCGAATTCAATTGATACAAAGGGATAGTGGGGGTTTAAAATCTATAAAGTATTTTTAAGTAGAATTAAAAGTGTTTTTGTGTTTTTTTAATGTTGCTAATTGTTGAATTTTGTATTGTAATTTTTTGCTTTTTTATAGTAAATATTTTATAATTTTTATGATAAGTTATAATCATTATAAACTTTAAACAAACTTAACTGATATTTCTTGCTTGCAGTAATATACAATGGGATAAAAAAGAGCTATTACGGCTCTTATTTAATTAAAGGAGATGTGCAAAAGTGGGATTATTCTTAAAGGATCAATAGGTTAAATGACTTGAGAGAAGGTCGCGCGACCGTATGAAATAATCAACGTATTGATTAGAAATAAGGAACGGGTAAACGTAAGGTCATTGCCATCCGTCAACCCTTTCGCAGCAATACAAACAGACCTGGGGCACGATATTCGAAAGCCCCCCCCGACCAAAAAACATGGTCGTTCAAGTCGCGAGAACTTCCCACTCGGCTCCTGAAATAACCGAAGAACTAGTGTTTTTCCCTTCTTCCGTTTAATCAAAAGATGCGCAGAGGAGGTGGGTTCACTTTCGCTTCTTTTAAGAGTTGGCAGATCGTCATGTAACCTTCAGACGTCTTCACTGTCACTTTGCCACTTTAAATATATCAGGCTTGGATCTTGTGTTTATACGTTTGCGACTGCAATTTCGGCCAAAAGTTATCTTAATCTATAGATACATATGTACATACCAGAACTATATTTGTTCGACTTTGAAATTCCTAATTATTTACAGAGATAATTGAATTACAAACCTAAAAGTGTAACTTACATAAATATCAAAAATTAGAAGGCTAATCAAATCCATTTTTAGTACTGTCTTTAGGATATTACAGTATAAAAATATTTTATATTTGCTTTAGAATATTGCTGTAGTAATATAAAAAAAGTAGAACTATATTTATTCAACTTGGAAATTCCTAATTATTTACACAGATAATTGAACTAAAAACCTAAAAATGTTACTTATATAAATATCAAAAATTAGAAAGTTAATAAAATCTATTTTGTAATGCTGTATTTAGAAAATTATAGTACAAATAACTTTTATATTTGTTTTAGAATATTGCTATAGTAATATAAAAAAGTTTTAATAGATTTTTCCATTATTTTAATTGATTTATGAGCTCTATTGATTTTTCTTTAATTTCAGTGTCAATTTTCTCCCGTTTTCACGTGATAGTTAACTTTGCGAAATTAATGATGTTCGTTAATTATTATATCTTTCGAAATTTCTAGTTGTTACAGTATAACAACTGTACAACATTTATAATACAATGAAAAACGAGAAGTAAGCTTTCATTGATTATTATGTACCTCTGTATTTCGGTAAAAAAAAAATTTCATGATTCCTTATGATAGTTTCTTTTAGGGAGTTTTAATTAACATTTTTCGTGCACCTATCTATTTTTTCATTTTCCAAATTTTAAAGTTTTACAGTATAATAGCAAATATTATAGATGGAAAAACTTAAAGGACATAGTAAGTTATACATAAAAATGTCAATTTTAAGGTACATAACAGCTAGATTTGTCTAAAAAAACAATCTATTTTACTTTCTGTTAGACAATTTTGAAAGCCAGAAAAAAAACTTTATTTATGGTGTGGGATACACTTTTGTTTAAGAGCAACATAATAAATTACAAGAAATTAACAACTTTTCTAGCGTTTATAGAGTCTGCTATAAAGAGGGTGCATAATCATGGTTATTGAAATAAAACAAAATAGTGAAAATAGATTAAAAGGCTTAAAAAGAAAACTTAGAAAAAAATTTCAGAAAAGTTAAGGACAAACTTTGTGCGTCTGATTTTGATCCTAATCATAACAATAGACGCTTAGATAGTAATAGTTTTTTCTTCTTTTTTAAATATTTGAGGCAATTTGTTGAAAACTTTGCACTTTGTAATGAGAAAGGAGTTATGAAAAAACGACGTTTCGAATTTTGGGGTCTAAAGGTTGGATTGGAACAATAGGAACAAGATAAACGTGGTATGCTTTGGTTATGTAAGGAAAAGAATATGGTGAAAATGAAAATTTAATATGATGAAGATAGTTAATACCTTAATTTATTGTCGTAGAGTTTTGGTCGTTGAAGTTTGGATGGAACATATTTATTTCTACTTGAACGGGGTTTATGTAAACAATTTCCTCCATTTTAAAATGTTTTATAAGTGTTTCAAAATTTTAAAAACAGTCGATTATTTGCTTTTATAAAATTATTAAATGTACTTGATCTGTCCATTTATTTATTTGCTCTTTTTCGAAATTTTAAATATTTACAGTATAATAGCAAATGTGGTAAGAAGATAAACTAAAAGTACATTCATCGTAAGCCACATATAAAAATAAGAATTTTATGGGATACCCTCATAACAACGAGATTAACGTAGAAACATTATATTTTATTTTTCCATTTGTAAAATTGTTTTATGTGAGTTTTCATGATGATGTCGTGAATTCATCCTCTTCTTTTTTCTCGGTCTATATTTTTTCCATTTTTCTTATGATAATTTCTTTTATTGAATCATTTAACAAATGTGATCTATCCATCTATTTACTTATTCTTGTTCGCAATTTAAATGCTCAGTACGCAATCGGCAAATATATTAGAATGCAAAACTAAAAGTTCGCAGTAAGATA